GAGTATTTTGCCCCCTAACGTTTCATTTTGGGGCAAAAATCTCTCTATAGATGAAAACCGTTAGTTAACACATCATTAACGCTCCAAAATAGGGCCTTTTTTACCCTAAAATAAAACGTTGGGGTCAAAATGCTCCAAAAAAAAAAATAAGGGTTAAAGTGACTATTCTTTCGAATGTTATGGGTCTTTTTGCCTTAAAATGAGATGTCGGGAATGCTCTAGAAAAAAAAGAATATAGACCAAAATAATCATTTTGATAAACGTTAGGTACTAATTTTAACATTATGCCTTTATTTTACTATAACATATATATTATATTTAGAGCATGATAGATTAATCATGATAAAATTTATTGATATCATTTTTTTTATGTTTGAGTACGTAGTAAACTTTAGGTTGACCTATCTTATATATTCTTAATAGTTTAATTTATAAATCAATCTAATATGTAAACAATAATAATAAAACTGTTATTAACATATTCACTAAATTATCTAAAAAAAATATCTACATTAAATTTTTTAAAAAAAATAACATTACATTTTCAACATATACAAAGTTAAAATATCACGACGTATAAAATGATAATTTTTTTGAGTTTATTGTTGGTATCTGATTTATTAATCAATTAATCAAAATTGAGTTTTACAGAGGTCCATTATGGGGATGACATTCCCAACTCAATTTGCTCTATTCGCAAACGTTAGCATTCAAACTCTTGATCTTACTTAAGAATATAGTGTCTCATCTCACTATATCATCTGTTTATCGGTAAAAATGATAAATTATTGATTAGTAACATATCTATATTTAAAAAGTATTAAAATTATTTATTTTTATTATTTTTAAAATGATTAAATTTTACATATATGTATTTTTCATTTTTATTAATAAATCTAAATATTTATTTTTTTATTTTAAAAGTTTTAATCTATTTTATATTATAATTTTAAATAATTTTTAAAAAATTGGTATAAAATTAATTAAACTTTCAAAATTTATAAAATAATCACTTTAACCACAGAATTATCTAATATATTCAAATTAGAATATCTATCACGTCAGTATCATTAAACTCTATGCATTATTGTATACCGTAACATCAACATTAAATCGATCATTTCTATTAGTCAAAGAGTTATATTGAAATTTTTTCTCTATTTTACAGTCTACATCAGATATAAAATTAATTCAAATGTTATATTGTATTTTTTTTAAAATTGTGAACACCTCGTGCACTATTAACATTAACACCATATGCACAATCAACCCCAACTTTAATTAAATAAGGTAGCTGATAAATAGCGGTTGTCCTTGCCATACATTTGCCCTTACCCTATCACTGCTCGAACCAGTTAAGTGGGAAAAACATAGGGAAGAAACGACGAGTTTCATGGAAGACATCCGTTTAAGGTAACGATTTCTGTCGGCTAAAAAAAGTAAACAGGAGGAAGTTATATATATATATATAAGAGAATGATAATTTTTAGGAAATCTAAGGAGTGACAATTTAATTTAATGTTTAAAAATTATGGTGTTAGTAGTAATTAAAAATGTGATAAAAATATAACATTTTATATTAGACACAATTTAAAATGTTATCTTTTTTTTATTCATAATATTTTCAGTTAGCATCGAAATTATTAATTTATTCGTAAAATTTTAAGTTTAACAAAAAATGTAAGAAAAAATGTAACATTTTATATTGCGTTAAACTTAAAATATTATAATTTTTATTATATTTTCGATTAACTCCAAAATTATCCTATTTTAGTCTTAAATTAGATTGTTGCTAAGTAAAACTACCCATAACTATGGGTTAACTATGGGTGAGAGTTCGATAGAGTCGAATTAAGTTAAAAAAATTGAGTTATTCAAGTTGATGAATCTTATTTTATATCTCAATGTTAACTTGAATTTTTTTGAGTCGAGTCGAATTTATATAATTCGAGTAAAATTAAATCAAATTTTTGAGTTTCTGTTTAAATTTTATTGTATATATTTATAAAATTATGATATTCAAATTTGCAGATGCTCTTTTTGTCTGGGGTTCATTCGAGTTTTGCTCAGGTTTATATTAAATAAATTATTAATATATGGGTGTGTTTAAAATTATACAGGGATTATTTATCAATAATTATTTATGGGTGTGGCCATATATATTATTATGGGGATATTTGACCATTATTATATATATATATATGTATATATATATATATATATATATATATATATATATATATATATATATATATATATATGTATAAGCATATATAAATAATTAAATATATTTATGTACATAAAATACTAATGCACTAATATTTTGCCTGATTACAAAACAACCCATCACTTACCTAAACAGAGGAGCAACAGGCAATGAGGGCATCATCAGCAACCAAAACAGAACCCGAAGCAAAAAAAAAAAACCCAAATAATCCATCAGCAACAAAACCAGAGGGATCGAAACCAAAAAAGCCAGCAACCAAACCAAAAAAAAGGGAGAAGCTTTTCCTTTTATGAGTGAGTCGAGTACCCAGAGAACAAAAAAAAGAACCCTAAAAGGAAAAGACCTTACATTTCTCGTAGAAAGAGGACCGTCGTCGTCGCTCGAAGCCAAGTCACTTTTGAGTCGTCAAAAGTAACTGTTTAGGGTCCGTTTCATTTTTTAAGAGTCGTTTATCTTTTAGGTTTGGGTAAGCCTCGAATCAGGTTTTCGGAGGGGTTTTGAGCGGTGTTTCACTCCTCATCGGAGTCCATGGGTGATAAGAGGCCGTCGTGGCCATCCGGTTTGTCGAAAGTTGCTAGGGAGGGGGTTCGATTCAGAGAGATTTATAGAGTTTAGGTTAGATCTAAGGCATCGGGTCGTTTTAATTGAGAGAATGGGGTTGTTTGAGATTCTATGGCCCCTCATTGGAGTATGCATGTCAAAGAGGCCACGACGACCTTTCGTTTTTTACTGGGGAGCGAGAGAAGGAAGAGAGGGTTAAGGGAATAGGGGAATGCGACTGAAAAAAAGAAGAGGAAAAACAAAATAGGAGAGCTAGGGCATTTGTTACCCCCAAATATCATTATATATTGTGGTCAAAACGGTGGCGTTTTGAGGTTAGGGAAACCCATGTTTTGGGGAGAGGGGTTAATTTTGTATGAACCCCGTCGTTTTTTATTATATCCCATTTTAGTCCCTTAACCTAGTTTACCGGATTTCCATACTCGACCTTGAACTTTTCGCGCCTTTTAGTACCTGAAATGTGATTGTTTTGCGTTCTGGCCTGATCTTTGCTTGGTTTATGGATTCGACTTTGATTTGCCCATCATTTCGTTTTAATCCTTACCTTTATTGTTTATTTAATATTTTGTTTACTTAGTTTATTTCCCAAAACTTTCTGTATTTATTTGTTTGCACCTCACACTTTATGCAGTAATTTTATTTAGCCTTTTTATGTATGTATGATTTAATCTTGGTTTTGTTTATTAGAACCTGCAATTTTAAGGATGTTGCATTTTTGTTATTGCGTTTAGTTTTACGTTTTCATACGATTCTTTTGGTGCACATTTATTTTCATATAGGATTTACTCATGACATCACTTTCGCATGATATGTATGATATCCTTCATGTGTATAACTCGACCCATATAAAATAATTTGATTAAGGGTAATACCCTTCCATTTTAAAATCTTTGTGAGGAGACTGTCTTAACTTATAAGAAAATCACTTCCGATGATTTTAAACTGAAAGCGTATCCCAACAGTAAAACCCCAAAAAATGATTCTATCTAAAATCTGGGAACGAAAGAAAAATAAATGTTCGTTTATTTAAATTCATCGAGAAAAGATCGTTAGAACTTATCTAAGGTTCGATTTCGACATCTTTAAATAATCGAATATTCTTATTCTTTCTAAAAGATTGGCAATTTCTAATTTAAATTGATTTATTTTACCATTATTCATACATTTTGATTCAACAATGAATTTTCCAATGGAATTGTAATATTTCTTTATTTCGATTGGAGTAAGAATTGATTGCCCCAAGGTATAAGAGGTTTTTTTTCTCGATAGGAAATAATTAAATATTATTAGGTTTCATTTTAAAATTCATAGTGTGTTGTTTTAAGGGATCTTAAATTAAATTAAATTTGAACTCGTAAATTCCATTGCAAAGACAATTAATTAATCGACAAAGTACCGATTTAGGGCGCTGTGGGGTGCTAATCATTCTCCACGTGTAATCGACTATCTTTTATTTTTCATATGTGATATACATATATCATATACAGAGTCAACAAGACTCGACTCAAACTTGAATATCAATCTACTAATTATTAAAAATTTTGAGTTATTCGAGTTACTATTCGAGTTATATTTTACAACTTGATTTAAACTTAAATTTTTTTAATTGAGTTTATGAACCTCGAAATCAATTCAAATAAAATTTTTCAAATCCAATTTTACTCACCCATACCCACCACAGCTTCTTCAAAAACTGAAAATATTACAAGTATACTCGTGCGAAAGACATTACGAGTTTACCAAAAAAATCATAAAATAATAAAAGATAGAATTAAAAATATTTCAAAAAATAAAACTTAAAATCTAATAATTGTACTTAAAGTTCCAAAATTTTTAGGATAAATTGTATGTTTAGTCACTCAATTATTTCTATAGTTTTACTTTAGTCATTCAACTATTTTGACCATAAGATAATTAAAATAATATCACATCATTAATGAAAAATAAAAAATTTATTATATTTTTATTTATTTTTTAATAACGATAACAAAATATAACGTTAAATATATTTTTCTAAAAATAATTAAATAATTAAAATATAACTACAGAAAATGATTAAATAAGGAGTTTTTATATCTATTTCAATCAATAACATTGCTCACATTTAAACCAAGTAGCCGACAGGCCATCTTCGTTCCACCATCAAAATCACAGCGCATCTTTAATTTTCTTGTCTATATCAAATTCTAGCCATCTCTCTCTCTCTCTCTGTATAACACTGCCCCATACACTCTTTCCTTTTCTTCTCTCAAAGTTGCTGAGCTAGCTCAGCCATTGTTGTCATCCTCGAAGCTTTTTCTTTGTTTCTCACTCAAACACCCTCTTACTTTGGTCTTCAACCATGGCTGCTTTAGTACTGCTTCCACTGCTCCTTCTGACCGCCATGACCGGCCGCTCAAGTAAGCCTTTCTTACTTTCTTTCTCCTCTGTTTTCTCAGTTTGTAGATCTTGTAATCTCCCTTTAACACACTCAACTTTTAAACAAAGTTGTTGCTTAAATACCCTTATTTAACATTATCGTGGTTTTCAAGCAACACTTATGCTTTTGCAGCTTCAGATTTCAAGTATTTTGCTGTTTGTTTAACAGGTGGGACATGGTGTATATGCAAAGATGGTGTGAGCGATGCAGTGTTGCAGAAGACATTGGACTATGCATGTGGAGAAGGGGCAGACTGTAACCCTATCCACATGAAGGGTCCTTGTTTCAACCCCGACACTGTTAGGGCACACTGCAACTATGCTGTCAACAGTTTCTTCCAAAGGAAAGGCCAAGCTCAAGGCACTTGTGACTTTGCTTCCACTGCCACTCTCACTAATTCTGACCCTAGTAAGTAGTTCCCCCCCCCCCCCCCTTTACCTTTTACCTTTTTACCATGGTTAAAGAAAAGTCTTATATCACAGATAAGCCCCTAAAGTGCATCACCTTTTTCATTTAAGTACATAAAGTATATGAACTTTAAAGTATAAGAACTTTTTCATTTAAGTACATAAGTATTTTTCGATCAAAATAAATACCTAAACTTATTTTTTTAGTTAAAATATTTTTTTTATCAAAATGGATATTTAAAATATTTAAAATTTTCATCTAAATACCTAAAGTATTCAACTTTTTTATCTAAATACTTAAATTATTCTTTAATTAATATTATATGTCAATTTTTTAGACTTTAGATGAAAAAAATAAATACTTTAAGTAATTATTTTGACCACAAATACTTTAGGTACATATTTTGATCAACAAGATAAATTTAAGCAAAGGCAGAGCCATGATTCTAATTTAAGGGACAAAGTATAATTAGCAATAGAAATGAGAGAGGCAAAATTAAAATAAATCAAAACTTAAAAGGTCTAAATATGTATTTATCCATATATATTTTTAATAATAAAAAATGGATGGGGAGTGGTGTCCCTGAATTTTAAATACTTATTCTAAATAAAAATACTTTATATCTAAATGAAAAAAATATATACTTTAATCACGTATTTATTATATAATTCTTAAAAACACTCAAAATTTTTACTCATTTTATGTATTTTTGCAGGCTATGTTGGTTGTCCTTTCCCGGCTACTGCAAGGTATGCTCTAAAGGTCACTCATTTGGGTTTTGTGTTTTGATGAACAACTGTTAAAAGCATGTAGACTATACACTTAGTAGGCTAACTATCATTTTATTCTGTCTTGGTCGTCTAACTTTATTTTTTTAAAATTATTTTTAACGTTACGTTTTGATTTAATTTTGATAATCCGCTGTTAAAAACATTAATAGAATCTTTGGCTTGATAGTTCTTTTAAAAAAATCAATGATGATATGTCAACATCACAATTAATTTTTTAACGGTGAGTGATCAAAATGAAATCAAAACGTACCATTAAATATGATTTTAAAATAAAAAATAGTTAGATGACAAAAACAGGAAAAAAGTGATAGTTGATATATTAAATGTGTAGTTTACCCTAAAAACATTAATGATAGTTTTGGGGCGAATGGAGCAAAGGTAGGAAAGTTGGATGGGTGGGGCATGAAATATTAATATTTTGTAGGTCCACATTCGAATCTCTAGTCTTAAAAGCTATAACTTAGTTTGAACAAAAAGAAAAAAAAGGTGATTAATAAAGTAATTTTGGAGCTCTTATTGCTTTATGCTATGTAGACCCTCCGTTTTAGTTTGGATTCAAACCCAGTCTCATTAAAATTGAGGACAAATTATATATATAGTCGTTAGCGGAACTTATTGATAGAGTTTGAAGATAACTTATACCTTAAAAATTTCAGATATTTAAATTAAAATTTTTAAAAATTTTGAAGTGTTTAGTTTATATTTTCCCAAAAATTTAAAGTCTAACTAAACTTTTTAAAATTTTGAGAGGCTTAATAATAACTTTTAAAAAATTATGGGAGGGGGTTTAATTAAAAACATTAAAAAAATTTAAAGTTTGATATAAATTTCTAAAAATTTTGAGGGTAATAAATTAAATTTTTTGAAAATTTTAAGGGTCTAAATTATAACTTTTAAAATTTTTGGGGAATCACGGGAATAAATGGATGACTAAATGGTCACTTAACTATTTTTTTCAAAATCATACATAACGTTATGTTTTGATTCAGTTTCGATCACTCACCGTTAAAAAATAAATAGAACTATTAATGTAGTTATTTTTTATTTATATTTAATGATAACATGACATTATCTTATAGTATAACCATTATTTTTTAACGACAAGTGGTCAAAACGAAAATGAAACGTAAGAATATATGATTTTGAAAAAAAAAATTGGATGATCAAATTGGAACCATAGGAATAGGTGTATGAGTAAATATATAGTTTACCCTAAAATTTAATACATTGTTTTGTTTTCTTAATGCACATCTTTCCTACATTAATATTGATATTGATGAATACATATTGAATGATTTTTGCGCTATTCATTGTTAGTGACTTTTCCTTTCCCTTTGATCAGTGCCGCAGGCACCACCACCACAACACCAAAACCTACACCGTCAACCACCACACCCAACGTCAACCCGATCAACAACAATCCGACAAGCACGACACCGTACGGTTCAACAACGCCTACCGGAATGTTGGGAGGAGTTGGCAATGGGTTGAGCCCGTCCAGTGGTGGGATCAACCCAGATTACAGTACTGACGGAGGATTTAGGCTCCAATATTGCTTCTCATCCTATGCAACCCTCTTGTTTTCGGGATTCATGCTATTGTGGGGTTAAAAACAAGGGTGCCAGTCGGAAACAATGTCTTTGGCTGGAAAAATCCTCTTTTAGTGTATGGTGTTGTTGATCTATGGACATGTTAGCTAAGGTTTATGGATTTTATTCATTTTAAGGCGTGACTTCTGAGGTTATGGATACCCCAAGGTTTTATGTACATTTAAATCTAAAATTTAGAATGAATTAAGCTACTTCAGTGGTTAAGGAATTTGTTGTTATCCTTAATATCTCATGTTTAAACACCGCGTAAGCAGAGCTAAATTTTAAATAACGGTGTCATAATTTTAAGGTTTAATATAAAAAAGTGTCCAAATTATATTTTTCTTCTTATTTAAGTGCCTAATTTTTTTTGTCAATTTAGGTGTCTAACATTATCAACGTTATCATTTTGGTGTCTCGTCCGTCATCACCGTTAAAAAAATTCGTTAGTTGAAAATAAAAATGGACACCTAAATGAGAAAAGAGATATAATTATTTATCTTTCTAAAAAAATATAGAGAGAATTTTTTTATTTTAGAAATTTTGAGGTGTCATTTGATACTCATTTTTCAGAGTGGACACATATGTATTAATAACATAAATTTTTTGTATAGGGACAGCACAAATAAAATTTTAGGGTGGCAACTTTAGAAAAAGGAACAACTAATATATAAAAATTCGAATTTTAGAGCGAACAGGTGAATATATATGAATCCGTCACCGGATAAGAATATTCATTGTCAAAGGATTTTAAAGCTTTGAATATATATTACCTTATATTCACTTAGATTTATAAATAATGTATGATAATTCAATTCGATTTCTTTTATATTGTAATTTTTTACGGGTGAAGTCTAAAGTCCTTCATAAACATTTTTATAAAAAGAAATAATAACTTTATATGATACTTTTAAATTACTTTCACTATTTCAAACATAAGATATTTTTTTGCTTTAAAAGTAAAAAATTATTTACAAATTAAACGAAGATAGATTTCTAGTCATTTTAGTGTGATTAATTATTATTTTTATATTTGTGAATAATAAATTATTTTTTCTAAAAAAAAAACAGTTTTATAGTGTTCTTTGTTCTCCCTGGAATCTAAGAGTAATCGACAATAGTAAATTGGCAGCCCAAACTCGTTTTTTTTATGTTGCTCTCCGGATTTTTTAAGATTGTCCTAATTAATTCAATTTGATTCGTATTACACATATGATTTTAATGAACGAATCTTTCAATAATGATTTTCTGCATATATAAAGTATCGAATTCAAAATCTACTTAAATGATATTAAACTGCTTATCACTTAAATCAACCTCTATCAGTAAACTTGTTCTTTATTTGTTCGGTGTTTATGTATTTATATTTGCTTCGTCGTCTTGTTTGTGTTGTTTTTCATATTAGAATTATAGGCACATGTTTGGAAAATAATAGAGCATAGTCAAGTTTAAAATTGTACTGAAATAGACTATTTTGAGGTGAGATTTAAATTTGGCTTAAATGAAAAATAAATATTTAAATTGTACAATAAATTTACATTAAAAATAAAGATTTTTATTGAAATAAAGATCTAATAGTTTATTCTATTATTATTTTAATGTCCCAATCGTGCTTGGGTCATGGTGTTTATCTGAATTGATGAACTAATTATTAAAATAAAGATTTCTCTTGCAATAAGGTAATAACTTTTCACCTTCTCGTTTAATTGAATTGATGAACTACAACATCCGAATCTTTGACCGTTTGAAAAATTTTAGGAATTTAAAGATTCAAAGATTTTGTTTTCTAAGAAAAATATATTTTTTTAAATTGAGAATTTTAGAATTTTTATTTAAAAAAAAAAGTTTAATGCAACACATCAAGCAATCGATAAGTGACAATTTTTTTAATATACATTGATCATAAAATAGTAAGAGATTGAAACGATAGACGTACATATTGACTAAAATATTTCTGGACATATAAAACAAAAATGGAAATATAATCTGGAGATTATTTTTAATTAAGCCTTAAAACTTCTATGAATTTTTTGGTCAGCAATGAAACCGTGTTTATTTATTATTATTTATTTATTTGGGTCAACTTATCAAATAAAATTATATGCTTGTTGATGGAATAAATTGATTGTAACTGCTGTATGTGATTTGTTCTTTTTAATTTAGGCAGAGAGCTATAGTCAAGTAAGATTGATAGTGAATGAAGAGACGGAAGAGAATATACAAATAGAGAATGTGAAGAAGAAAAAGAAGATCTCTCTCCCGTTTGTTTGACATAAGAATTTATATATTAACCCTTATGTATATTGATATCAAATTTAAGATCATAATTTATATCCATAGATCGACAGAGTGAATAAATGCAGTCATCGATCAATTTGAACATGAAAAGTCTTATGAATGTGTAAATTAATATTCAACCTACAACACTTGTATACAATTCAGGTTTTTTTACCAAAATATCATCCTGACATCCTTTCTTCAAAATTTATTGATCTAGCACTCTTTGACAAGGTGCAGATCGTTATCTGCGCCTTTGTAGGGTTTTGTCCGAGCTACCACAACGTCATGAAAAGCGCGGATGACCTTATCCGAGCTGGCGCCGCCTTTCTGGGGTTTCTGACACGTGCCTGTAAGGCGCGAATCACCATATGTGCCTTCTATTAATTTTTCAACCGTTCACACCTCCCACATTAATACCCCATCCAGTCAAACCCCTCCCCTCTCCCTTCTTCATTCAAGCACACCAAATTCTCAAATCTTCTCAAACCCTCTCAAAACTCAAACCCATTCATTTTCTACTAAGAATGTAAAATATTTTACTGTATTATAATAAATTAATAATTTATTATTTTATTAAATTGTATTATATTAAATTTTTATTATTTTTTGCATTTATAAAATGAAAGGTGTTCTGCTACATTTAGATGAACATCATATCTCGAGATACTGTAACAATTTTAAATTTTATTTTAATTTTAATTATTGTAATATTTTAATTATTTAATTTGTTTAGTATTAGTTTATATTTTAATTTCTATAATATTTATTAAATTAAGAGAAAGACTATATATTAGATCCCTTCATTTGTAATATTAAGTTAGAGATACCAACCCGTGTATGGCCGTATTTAGTCGAGGCTGGATTTGGTTATGTAGCAAAATATGAAGGCACTGTAACCTAGAATCCAAACTGATTTCTGCATTGGTTGAGAGGTGGAGACCAGAGACACATACATTCCATCTTCCATGTGGAGAGTGCACAATTACGCTGGAGGATGTTTGAGCGGTGGAAACGAGAGACACACACATTCCATCTTCCGTGTGGAGAGTGCACAATTACGCTGGATGATGTTTCCATGCATTTGGGGCTTTTGGTAGATGGATATGTGCTTTCTGGGGTGGCGCATGGTGATTGGCATTCATTGTGCGAGGTGTCATGCCTAATTTCAACGATGGTGAATTTCGTTAAATTGGTTGGATGAAACTTTCAAGCATTTTAGTGGTGATGCCTCGGAGGAGCATGTTAAAATGTATGCACAGACTTGCATACTACAGCTCATAGGAGGGCTCCTGATGCCGGAAAAATCACCCAACAAAGTTCACTGTATGTGGTTGCGTCACCTCGCCGATTTTCATCAGGCTGGCACACTGAGTTGGGGCTTGGCAGTTTTGACATTTCTCTATAGGGAAATGTGTCGAGCTACTGGCTATAGAAAAAATGCTATCGACGGATGTCTCCTTCTGCTCTAGTCTTGGGCGTGGTATCGCATGCCCTTTTTATGTCAGGTGGTGAAAAACTCGTTGGTCTTCCCACTATTATTGAGGTAATTACAATACTGATTTTGTATATTAATAATTTTATTTAGTATATAATAAAAATTATTTAAATGAATAGATGGTCAACTGCAAGAAAAGATCATCGAGATTTACCTGATGAATTAGAAGAAATTAGGCTACTCATTGATCAGAAGACTGACACAGAGGTATGTATTTAAATAACAAAATGTACTTTTAATCATCATTATATAATTAGAATATTATTTTAATAAGAATTATATATATATATATATGTTTTAGTTTGAATGAGCTCTTTATTGTACTGAAGAGATAAGGATTTGCATCCCATACCACTTAAGAGGCCCATTAGATGTCTGGATGGCGGTGGTCCCTCTAATATGTTATGATATTGTCGAGTGGAATCCCACTGATCGCGTGCTCTAACAATTTGGTTTTCTACAATATATTCCGAAAGCATCTAAAAATCTTGACGATTTGCATATCATCGATTGACGCGGCAAAAAAGAAGTCGATTGGCTGCTGAAGTACTATAAGCGGGTAATGATATGAGAGGATCAACGTGGGCGCATTCCCCGTACAGAACCCATTTATGTAGACTATTTGACAGTTGCAGATGGTTATTATGAGTGGTTCAACAAGAATAAGAAAATGTTCCTACTTTCCGAGGAAGCACGAGGCAGGAGCATTCATCGATTTTGACAAAGACGTCCACCATTACAACATCATCGTCCCTGACTCGTGGATGGAGAAAAGGCACTTAAGACTCGTCCTTAGCTGCAACACCAAAACCTTCACAACAGCCACCGTCTACACCACTATACATTCTACATCCGTTTCAGATGGCACCGCAGCCATATCAGATTACATCATAACCATTTCATATGCCAGTGAAGCCAAGTCAGACGCCATTGCTTTCATACCAGATTTTGCCGTCACCACAGAGCTATATGATCCCTTTTAGTGGATATTATAGTTCCATGTTTGTAGATCCAACTTAGAGTTCATATGTTGGTTATTTGGTGGGTGAAGTTTCATTACTGATGGTCGTCGTACAGACACTTCCTGTACAGATTTTTACTCATCGATGTCGGTCTTTTCGTAGTTTTCATAGTTTTCTATGAGCTGTGCGATAGTCAGTCATACACCTCCAGGGTCCTTATTCTATGGAGGTACTACATCGTCATTCGTCCCTCATCAACAAAATGTATCTGCTCCTGATGATGATGATGGTGGTGATGGTGGTGGTGGTGGTGATGATGATGATGAGAGTGAGGAGTCAGAACAAGTTATACAAAGAAATCCTCCTTGAGATAGACAACCACCGCCCTGTGAAACACATTCAAGATGCAGGCATCGATATATTCATACATATCATTATTTTTGTATTTACTTTTTTTAATTTACCAATAATTGTAATTTTTATTTAATTATT